AGATTTTTCATACTCATCCACTTGTCTAGGCTGCTTTGGCGACTTCTGTTCATAGGTCATTACTCGAGGGACCGAGTCTGTTTTTCCCTCTCGCGCATATCCTCTCGCACATATTGCTTGCGAGACTGCCTTGAGCTTTCCACAATGTCGGGACCCCCATAGATCATGCCTACTAGGACTTTATTGTTGGTCAGGGCTTGTCAGATCTGATTATTCTGCTCGCCTGTACTTTCGTGAGTTGGTGCCTCATTGACAAATTCTTTTAGGTGGCCCCTTTAGATCAAATTTTTGATGGCATCCTTTAGAGCCCAACACTCATTGGTGTTGTGCTCGATGTCCTAGTGATATTAGCAATATTTATGTCGGTCTCTTCTACCTAGACCCCCCTTATCCCTTCTGGAGCAGGCAGTCTCTTAGCCTCATGGGAGACTTCATACATATGAGCTATCTCTTGAGTGAGGGGGTGTATTTTGCATATCACGGAAAAGTTGCCTTTCCCCGTGATTTTATGTTTTTTGCCTCTTTTGAAACCTGTTCCGATCCTTGTCATTGCGGTCTTGGCCCGTTTATCTGCTGGGCAATCTTGTCACCTGTTTGGGGCTCTTCGTGGTGAGCTTTTGGCTAAGGCTGCTAGTGAGCTTTCCACTCACTGAAGCTTAGTAGCCATTTGATAAAATTTCACCAGGCTTACATGGTCTTTACTTTGGAGCTCTTTCCACACCTACATCTGCGGCTTGATAACCACAATTAGAAAAATCTGGATTGACTCTTCAAGTGCATCCACGACCTTTGCCTATTCATTCTGGAACCTCGTTAGATACGAGGTCAATGATTCGTCTATCTCCTAACAAATATTGCTCAGGTAGCTAAGCAGCATTGTGAACTATCTCCTTGCTTGGAGTTGCTATAGGTATAGTAAGGAGAACTGTTGCCAAGAACTAATCGAGTTCGCCGTGAGCCTCTTGTACCACCTATTGGCATCCCTTACCAAAGTGACCGAGAAGCAATGACATTTTGCCAAGTCATAGACCTGATGTAGCTCCATCAGGTCGTTGAAAGAGTCAAGGTGGTCTTTCCCATTTCCCCTCAAACTTGCTTTCTGGCGCCCTGAATTCTTGGGAAAGCGAGGCCTGACGAACTTCCTCTGTGAATGGAGAGCTTACTATCTCTCTTCCGCCACATTGTTCTGGTGGGCTCTTAGATCGTTGAACATTTTTTACACCTAATCTAAGTTTTCATTATGAGGGTTACTTTGGCTAGGTCTATTCAGCCTTACCTTGAGCAAGTGAGTTTGCAAGTCTATTGCTTGTGAGACCCCTTCATTGTGCACATTGACACGCGAAGTGAAGTCATAACGGCTCGGTTGGTAGGTATTATCATGCTCATCAGTGGGTTGCTCGCGGCATTGGTTATAACTGGAACATCAGTCATTGCCAGATTGGCGCACATGACTCATCTCACGAGCTTGCGAGGTATGAGTCTACCTTTAGTGTGGGTTAAAAGTGGCACGCTGACATTGAGGATATCGCCGAGTAGGTCAAGTATCCCTTTGGCGACCATTATCTTCATCCTCCCCTATGGGTTGTTTACCCGATCATCTCCCGGAGTTAGTTTGACCGCAAGACTCTCGTTCATGGGCGAAATGTGCCCGACAATGTTGAAATTGTCAACCATTCCTCGGTGCCGACAAACCAGATTAGTCACCTACTGAATTCCGACTTGTTGGGGTGACGTCGATGAAGCACGACTAGTCAAGGTCTTGAGGGGCTGGCTATTGATTTCTCAACTTAGCCACGTTTTGTTACACCACCTGTACAACCATTGTTCTGATCATCTCCACTAGTTGACCATTCTCGAAATTCGACGTCCCCGCTCCCTACTGGTTTATGGCCTGCTGCACCAGCGGCACTGGTGGTTGACACTCAGCGACGTCTTGATGCACCTCCTGGTGGGTGGTTTTCACGTTGTCATGGTTTCTGGTGGTTGTTTTTGATCTTGTATGAACCATTGTTGGCCTTGAGTGATCGAGTCACTAAGATTGTTTACCGGAAATTCTAAAATTCGGCAGAGGCTCTCCTTATAGCGCCAAAATGTTGATACAAGATTTTGTATTAACTAGAGCGATCCGATTGACCTTGATAGAATCAAAACGGATGTGTACGTGATTACGGATAACTAGCAATGTAACGAATTAAGAACAGTAAAGTAGATGACACAAAGAGTTTTTAAAATGGTTCGGCAAATTACACTCTTGAGCCTACATCCACTATCTTTGTATTTGCTATGAAAGCTTACAATAATGATCCTAGAGCAATTTGCTAACCCTTTTTCATCGTTGGAGGGGGTTTATATACAGATTTTGTACAAAGGAAAGAGCGAAAATAAAAGGATTACAATTAAGATTGAAATGCAACTCTAATATTCTCACGATTGAGCGTTGAGATTGCGCCAGGATTGCTATCGATCTGATCTCTTTCGAGATGTCCATGATCTGAAGTTATTTTTGAGCTGGTTGAACAATTGTAGAGATTGGTCGCGACTAGCGTATGCTGGGTCGAACAATCAATTAAGTCAAACTGATTCTAAATCGGACTATAGCCTTGCTGACATCCGACTTCTCCGAGTTTGATGGAAAAATCACACACAACACCTTATAAATAAATTTAATAAAAATATCTTTAATCAAACATATTTCTTAATATTTGGACAGACCTGAAATTCTATAAATAAATTTGGCACGATACAGACAATGCATAATGGTTCCTATGGTTTGAGTCGTTTGACAGGTATAGGAAACATTTTGGTTGTCGATCTAGTTGTCGATCTAGTTGTTCCTTATGTCTTGATCATTTCAATTTATAAACCCCTAGAAAGAATTAATCACAGTTGTTTATTTCTTCCTAAGATAAATTTACGACTTCTAAATTGAAACCTCGAAACAGTCATATGTTTACGTAAGTTCCATAGTTTGATGTTCTTCAAACTTGATTCCCTTGTCTTAGAGCTCTCAAAGTCTCATCAAAGCCTATCAAGAACCAAACAACTGCATGCTCTTATCACCAAATCCCACCTCTTACGTGACCCATTTTATGCTACCAAAATCACAAGACTCTATGCTCTGAACAATGACCTCTCATCTGCTCGTAACTTGTTCGACAAAACTCCACAACGAAGTGTCTTCCTTTGGAACTCTATTATTCGTGCTTACGCCAAAGCCAACCAACTTAATGATGCAATATCACTATTCAAAAACATGCTTAGAACTGAAATAAGACCCGATAACTTCACCTATGCGTGTATTATTCGCGCGTGTTCTGAGAGTTTTGATTTAGAAGGACTGAGACTTGTCCATGGAATGGTAGTTTCAGGATTAGGACTGGATTCTGTTACTAGTAGTGCACTTGTTACTGCCTATTCAAACCTAAGCCTTATTGATGATGCGAGCAAGGTTTTTATTGAGGTATCGGACCCGGATTTGATATTGTGTAATTCCATGATTTCTGGTTATGAATATTGTGGATTTTGGGATAAAAGCTTGCAGCTTTGGAATTGGATGCGCCGCGTAGGGAAAAAGCCAGATGGGTATACTTTGGTTGGGTTGATCTCGGGTTTAAGGGAATCGAGATTGTTACGTATAGGCCAAGGAATTCATGGATTTTGTTTGAAAAGTGGTTTTGATTCCAGTGATCATGTAGTTAGTGTACTTGTGAGCATGTATGCTAGATGTAAGTGCATGAATTCTGCATATAGTGTTTTTAGTAGTTTATTTCAGCCTGATTTAGTGACATGGTCTGCTTTGATTACGGGTTATTCTCAATATGGAGATTATGAAAAGGCATTGTACTATTTCAGGAAAATGCATATTGAAGGCAAGAAGGCAGATCCTGTTTTGATTGCCAGTGTGCTGGTTGCTGCTGCTCAATCAACAAATGTGTGGCCTGGTAGTGTGGTGCACGGTTATGTTATTCAGCGTGGTTTCGAATTTAGTGTTGTGGTTTCTTCTGCTCTCACAGACATGTATTCAAAATGTGGGTTTGTGGACTTGGGGATTCGTGTTTTTGAGACTATGCCAGAAAGGAATATTGTTACTTACAATACAGTAATTAGGGGTCTTGCTTTGCATGGATTTGCATCTCAGGCCTTCAAAATGTTTGAGGAGGTAATAGCTGAAGGATTAAAACCTGATGAATCTACTTTTGCTGCTCTCCTTTGTGCTTGCTGCCATTGTGGCCTTGTTAATAATGGCTTGGAAATATTCCGGCAGATGATGGAGGACTTTCGCATCCAAGCTAGAACTGAACATTATGTTTACATTGTGAAGCTTCTGGGGACAGTTGGAAATTTGGAAGAGGCATACAATTTTATCTTGTCCTTGCCAAAGCCAGTAGATTCTGGCATTTGGGGAGCACTATTATCATGCTGTGATGTTCATCAGAATTCAGAATTGGCAGAAATTGGAGCTCAGCTGCTCTTCAAAAATGACCCAAACAAAGGTGCTTATAGAGTGATGCTTTCTAACATATATGCTAGCAATGGGAGGTGGGATGATGTGAAGAAGTTGAGGGATTTAGTAGATGGTGGACTAAGAAAAGTACCTGGACTTAGCTGGATCGTTGGCACTAGTGATTGAATTTGGAAATGATGTATAAAATCCTCTTCACACCAACTCGTGGACAGGATCCTCACCGGAGAGGTAAAAAATTTGTAAAGCTTCCGTTGATTATACATGCACCACTGTAGTGATACATGGCAAAGGCTAGAGATGACTGCTATGTAACAACTCTGTTGAGATTGTTTTGTTGAAGAAATTTAATTTTTGTAATTTCTGAAGCAGTAACTTCATATTGACAATTAAATTCACACTCACTTGCAGCACTAGATATTAATCTGATTTTTAAGAATTACTGGAACTTGTGGAGAGAGCTGAGGGTAAAACCTTGTAGACAATTACTTTTCAGTCATAAATGGCCTACTACTTAAGAGTTTTGTCCGTACTGTATCCTTAATGTACTTAGTGTGTGATTGAACTCCAGCAATCCTTTGATTACAGAGAATGTGTTAGGCACAACTGTTAATAGGATTTGATCAAATATAAATTACAAATAATTAATTTGATTCTTTGAACCTGTAAGAATCTTAATATAAAGTCCCAGTTTGTGCTAAACCTAGCTTTTCCCACACAAATAACATAAAAGAGAATAGATCCACACTCACACACGCATATGTGCAAAGTCAAATCTCTAAAGTACAGAATGTGCCAGGTCAACATAACTTGATTCCTAAAACTTCTCTTCACCCCAACATATCTCCCTCCTCAGTGGGTGTGCATGGTGGTAATGGAAATGAATCTTGCAGATCAGACATAGGCATGTATGATATCTGTGGAATGTACCTGATCTTGTAATTTTCCTCTCCTCCACCAGGTTTCAACCTTTGTACTTGCTCATTAAGTAAAGGTATTAATGTCAGGTGCTTCAATGTGGTTACAAACTGCAGTCCTTCTGGGAGCATCCTCAGATTTAGACAGTTACGCAAGTGGAGATATTGCAATCTCGGTAGTGCTTCATCTTCTATCTCTGTCCATTCTTCCAGAACATGTGAACTAATGGTGAGAATCTCTAGCTTGGGGAATCCCCCAACCCTGCAGAATTCTTTCCCTAACTTTTTTCCATCATAAGCATGCCACAGGATTAATATTTTCAGATTAGGTAGGTCCTGAAGTAACAATGCTGGGTTTTCAGACAGATGAGAAAAACCTAATCTAAGCTTTGTGAGCCTTTCCATTGAGCTAAACCAACTTGGTATCCTTTCTAGACGTCCTTCGAGTTGAAGTTTCTCAAGAAGTGGTGGGGGCAAGAACGATTCCAAGAGGACAAGTGTTCCTTCAATGAAATGTTTTGCTTCTACAGACAGGCTCAGAAGGCTCTGCATCATCATAATAGAAGCAAAGAGGTCACCAACATTCTCTTCGGCCACATCCAGCACTCCCAATCTTCTGAGATGACTCAGGTTACTCAATTCTTGTGCAGTACCACTACCAGCATTTATACCTGTGAGGCTCAAAATATTTCTCAACCTCTCAATTCCTGGTGGTAGCTTCACTCCACCAACATTTAATCTCTTGTACATTTTGATGTGCCTCAATTGTACCAGGCTTAGGACCTCGTGTGGCAGTGCTGCAAGGTCCCCACAGTATTTGAGGTCCAAAGTTTGCAGGGCTCGTAAATTACCAAGGCTTGGTGGAAGCTCATTTATATCTGTGTGCTTTAAGCCAATATATGTCAGGTGTATCAGGTCTCCCACTTCATCTGGTAATCTCTTGATCTTTGTACGTTCTAGATCGAGGATCCGTAAAAATTTTGCCCCATTGAAATTTAACCAATTCCCATGGTCTCTAGAGAGATCTTGACTCCCCAAGAAGAACAAACCTCGAGGGCGGACATTTTTTAATTGGGGTGCAACTGTTGTCAGGTTTGAATAAACTGAAACATGGTGGGCAGTATGGGGAATTAAAGAATGTGCACCGGTAAATGCAGTAATGAAGTTTTCTTCCTCCATCTTGCAAAGAATGATTTCATGCCAATGAGGGTTGACAGTCAAATAAGCCCCCTCTCCTATGTGTTCATCCTTGACTTGGATTATTCCCTGGTTGATTAGTTCGCTGATGTTTTCTTGCGCTGTATCCTCCATTAATTGCCCTGGCTTTTCTTGTGCCAGGCCTTCGGCCACCATTAATCGAATCAGTTTCCCTTTGCTTATTCGGTGATTGATGGGGAAGATACAACAATACATCAAACAGGATTGAAGGTAATAAGGTAAGTCAGTATAATTCATCAGGACTTGAGAAGCAGCCGGTGATGCTGTCTGGCCTCCTATTTCATGAGAGCTTTCCTTGTTATCTTCCTCTTCAATGGTAATTGAATTTTTGGCTTCTGCTGTCTGGCTTCCTTCAGTTTCAGGAGAGTTTTCCTCGTTATCTTTCTCCTCTCCTCCAATGGCACTGGGTTTTCCTTGTGCTGATGTCTGACCTTCTTCTATCTCCTGAGGGTTATTTATATCAGATTCATTGTCTCCTTTGACAGTACTTGAATTTTTCAGTTCTTCCATTTTGTGGATAGTTCTGGCAAGACGAGATACTATTTCCTGCAATCCATTTGCGAAGCTCTTGGTCAACTCAGACCTATCAGACGACCTTTGCTGATCCATCTGAATGATGAATTCATCTATCAGATCATCTGCGTCTCGAATTATATCTCTCAGGACATTTATCCAACTAGAAGTGCTAGCATCGGCTTTTGCACTCCATAGTTCACCAGAAAACTTTAAGATATCCCCAAGTGTGGTTATTAGACACTCCATTTGATGTTCAAGTCCGTAGAAGATTTCGATTGTTTGTCGTAGTAGAGAATTCAATCTCTGTAGGAAGAACTTCACCAAAGCTTCTGCCATCTCTTTCAAATAAATGAGAAAAAACTGGGTATCCCAGAAGGAGATCTGAATTAGAATTTCTGCTATGATTTGCAGTGCTACTCATTCACCTTGTTAGTCTTTTTGGGCCTATTAATAAACGATTTCTTAGTGAACAGATGTGCAAAAAGACGGCAATATTGTACGTGGAATGGAAAATGACAAATGCTAAAGTGTTAAGCAGTCTATTTTGGTGACTGTATTATCGAAAATCCGAAGCATATCCCCAAAATAGGAGCTGTAAATATAGGTCTTGCAAGCATAAAAAAATGGAGTTTAATTGACCCAGTCAGTAGCTTGATATGTGAGGACGTGGGCTGTATAGAAAGTCAAGAATGAGTTGAAAGAAACCTTTCACTCACAACTTGCACTGCAAGAAACAAACATTCTTCAGTAACTTATTATCGTTATATATTGAGAGAGTTTAAAAATTTATATTTTAGAGCTCTTATGAATCTTATTATCGTTACGAAAATATGAAATTTAGCATGAATGATTTCATGGTTCAGGCAAAAGAATTGTGTTTTTCCCTTAAAAGATTTGAAATTTAAAAGCTTATAGAAAATTATGTTAGGGCCCTTTAAAATGCATAATCTCTTCAGCTATACAAATTTTAGAGTCTTAAGTTTTAGCTCCAGCGACTAAGCTTAAGAAAGAACACATCAAGTGTTAAACAAGCTTCCGAATTGTAACAGTGACCAAAACCCTAAACACAAAACCCTAAACACAAGAGAGATTGTAAGGTTGAGTGATTAGGCCTGAAGATGAGAAGCTAAACCCATTGTATGTTTGCTGTTCTTCGTAAATCTAGCAAAATCAATAATCTTCTTATGGACACGGTCATTTTAGGTGAACTGCTTAAAATCGTTTATATAATATGTTACGGTTATTTGTTTGCTTATTGATTGATTTTTTATTGTCATTTATATCTTTTTGATTCATTAAATCATTTCAAACAAAGTTTTAAAGATGTTTTTTTTATGTTCATCTATAAAGTATTCAAAAAAGTGTTAGGTGAACATAAGTACACAATAATGTAGGATTTCTCAATTTTGTGTTTGGATTTTTCCCATGTTCATGTGATTGTGATTGTGCATTTGTGCTTGGTGTATCACTTTTTTTTTCTCGCTTCTTACAGTGCATTATATAGGCCCATTGATAATCAGGCCTATCATTTTGAGGCTCAAATCATTGTTTATAGGCCCAACCAGATCTCTGGAAAATATATCAGCAACTTTTCATAAATGCCTGCAGTAAGTGGAGTGCGATCATATATATAAACAATTAAACTGCGCATGTACTTGTCTGTGATATAAATTTACTGAGGCTCCTATATGCTTAGGTCAGAGACCGATCTATATAGACTTTACTTTCACTCTAAACAACATTCTGAAAAGGCGTAATCTTGTTGTGTATATATAGCCTGAAAAATGTGATTCTTTTTCAGTTTTTCTTGCTTGAGAGTCAGAATAATAGGGAGATACATAAGAAGTAGCACGTTGCCTACTTAAAAGAGTAGCTTATTGGGTCTTCAATTATGGTATTGAACACTCAGAACATCCCATATGGCTGATTTTTCAAATGCGCATGAGCTTATTTTGTTCGTTCATATCCAGAAATACATAAAAAATAGAGAATCCATGACCCTCACTACCACATTGAAGTAGTTAAATTAAAACTAATATAATATACAGTGAACATTAATTGAGAAATCAGGTATGAACCAATAATCGCATGTCTAATGATTAGGGCCATTCTTATTTTAAAATTATCAACTTTTTTGCTTGCATCTCGGCTACTTTTGATCCCATACACTGCAACTGCAAGGTGACCCACATCAAAGCCAGTGGGCGTGTAACTCTCTCTCGACTCTCCTCAAACAAATTAAAGAAGAAGCAGTGAAAGTGAGATTTAGATTAAGTAAATAAGGTGGAGCCGGCAGGACATGATTGCAATTTGGGGGTCTTAATCCTTAATTAGAATAAAAACAATATTGTAATAAGCAAAATACAGACACAGTCTCCCCGTAAGGTTGAAGAAAATGTCAATCATTACCTTTCTTAAATCATAATCTCATACGGAGACGGGCCCCATAATTACAAGCAGTCGGTGCATTCAAGAGATAAGAGCAACAAATTAAGACAAACAGAAGCTAATTTGTTTTTTCTCCCATTCCAATGAAATTTTCAAGTTCATTTATATATTATAATATATTTCATTGTAACTATCTACAGTTTAAGGTAAAGATCGAGGCTTCATATATTTGGCTACTTAACTTAGATGGGGACTGGACTCTATTCATATACCAGGATCAGTTGTTCTTTTACATCCTTTGTGGAGATGACAGTTTGTACAGACACTTAAATAGTATTCGGTGAATTCCCAAATTTCTACTCTCTTTTAATGGGAATTACTAGTACACTTACATATACATATAGAAGGAGAAAGAATTAATGTCTCTAGCTGTTTTTGAAGGACAAAAATTCAACATGAAAACATGGGCATTGAAATTAGAGATAAACCCTTATCCTGGGGGAACGAGAGAGAGTAGAGGACAGGCTTAGACTGAGTGAGAGTGAGAGTGAGAGTGAGAGTGAGGGGCCATGGCAATTGCCAAAGACCAAACGTTCAAACATGATGGTGACTCAGTGATAGAGACTAAGACTCGCAACAAATACGACAACTCTACTTACTTCTCAATACCCCACTTACTGCCAACTCTACTTCCCTATATCTTTTACTTTGTCTCTAGGTACGCTCTTTTTTCTTTCTTATTTCAATCATATTTTCTCNTTTAAGGTAAAGATCGAGGCTTCATATATTTGGCTACTTAACTTAGATGGGGACTGGACTCTATTCATATACCAGGATCAGTTGTTCTTTTACATCCTTTGTGGAGATGACAGTTTGTACAGACACTTAAATAGTATTCGGTGAATTCCCAAATTTCTACTCTCTTTTAATGGGAATTACTAGTACACTTACATATACATATAGAAGGAGAAAGAATTAATGTCTCTAGCTGTTTTTGAAGGACAAAAATTCAACATGAAAACATGGGCATTGAAATTAGAGATAAACCCTTATCCTGGGGGAACGAGAGAGAGTAGAGGACAGGCTTAGACTGAGTGAGAGTGAGAGTGAGAGTGAGAGTGAGGGGCCATGGCAATTGCCAAAGACCAAACGTTCAAACATGATGGTGACTCAGTGATAGAGACTAAGACTCGCAACAAATACGACAACTCTACTTACTTCTCAATACCCCACTTACTGCCAACTCTACTTCCCTATATCTTTTACTTTGTCTCTAGGTACGCTCTTTTTTCTTTCTTATTTCAATCATATTTTCTCACTTTATTAGTAACAGTATTTTAAATGCATAATTTACTTCAATATCTTGTTTATTTGGAGTGGATTCCATGTTCTACTTGCATTATTCAGATTGTGTGAGAGAAGAATAAGTTTTTTCTTGGTTTAGTGAGGCAATGAGGTTTTCATTCTAATCATGAAATTTATTTTTATTTTTATTTTTTTAATGATCGAGATGTTCAAATCAGTTTACGTGTGTCTTAACTAATCTTTTAAAATTCTGAGATTATCAATCGGATATAAGTTTTAATAATCACCCTTATTAATAACTGTAAACACTCAAATTTGAAAGATCATGTTAGATTCGCTCTTTCATCTAATCATGAAAGTTGATTAGTAAAATTAATCTCTTAATTTCATAATGAGATAGAGATGCAACTTTACCAAATTACTACTATTAACTTCCATCATAACCTATAGTTGAGAGTTGAGACACTAGATTTGAAATTCTCCAGAAATACTTTACTATTCTACATGTCACATCATGTTGTCACCTCAATCACTGTTCAATCACCAAATAATTTTATCTCCCCTTGATTGAAAACCTTCCAACCATCGACCCTGGTACTCCACGTCTCCACCATTTCATATGTCCAGTTAATCAGTTTGTTAATTAACCAAGGCCATCTTCAACTTCACATTCTATTTACAACTCTCTTATTTTTCGTAGGATTAGCACTTCATAGGTTGCGTGTACACGATTTAATAATGATTCCTTAACTAATCTTATTACAGGAAGCAAAATATAGTATAATATATATGCAACAATTGAAGTTGTGTAGTTAGGGTGAGGCCTGTTGTTTAGGTTTGCAGATATAATTAAGTAATTATATAGAATGGATTAATGATGATTATTATCCTTTACAGTTTTTTAATCAAGCATGCACTGCGGTTTTCATGGGAAGATTCTTCCGCTTTGATATTCTGAAGCCACAATAAGTTTAAAATAGGAAGCTCAATGGAATAAAATTCAAGATCACTCAATTTGAAAGGTGGATTGTTCAAGCCGTCAATTCAAGGTAAAAGTATTGCTGTGTAAAGGTCATAGATCAGCTGTTACGTTTTGTTGTATTAACCGTCTAAGACAAAACATATGGATTAAGACCACTCATTCCGAGCCGCTAAATCATCAATAATACAGTACTACAATACAATCATTGGTAAATTGTGTTTGTTATTTCAATAGTGCTATTTAATAACTAACTTATGAAAGAATAAAGTAAAATAACAAATATCAAAGTGAGAGAATTGAGATATATGATACTCAATTGATATTGTTAGCCCTCTTAATTTTTTGTGTCTTTTAAAATGAAGGAGAGGGGGGTATTTATAACCATCACCCCCCTCCCCCCCTCCTTCCCACACACACACACACACACATGCTTGCACCCCCACCGCCTCACTTGCAGCCTTAAATTGCAAGTAGGGTGGAAGTTCGTTTATTATAACACTCCTCTTTAGACATCCATCAATTACAAATAATTATATTTAACCTTACTTAAGAAAAACCCAATGGAATAAAAAACCTAAGTAAAGAAATAATGAAACTGTAAAGTGAATTTGGACATGTCTCGTATTGTCTCATTAAAAATCTTGTAAAGAAACCCCAATGGGACAAAACCTAATCAAAGAAAAAGAGTATAGTACACATATGTCCAGTACAATAAGCCTTTCTAAAAACGCCCCCTAATTGATGCTCCTCTTGTCAATGATCCCTCTTATAATAAAATTAATTTAGTAACTTATTAAGTCGTCACATACCAATGCCATACACTAACTTTTCAAATGTTGATGTTGGTAAGACCTTAGCTAATAAATTCGCAAGATTATCATTAGAGTGTATTTGTCTGACATCAATCTCTCGATTTTGCTGGAGTTCGTGAGTGTAAAAGAATTTTGGTGAAATATGCATGGTTTTGTCTCCTTTGATATATCCTCCTCTAACTTGAACAATACATCTTGCATTGTCTTCATTTAATTACAATTGCAAGAGCATCGAGGTATGTGGTAACTAGCATGTATTTTCAACATGATGGATGATAGATCTTAACCATATGCATTCTCAACTGGCTTCGTGAAGCGCAAGAGTTTCAGAGTGATTGGAAGAAGTGGCAACTAATGTTTGTTTTGTAGAGCGCTATGACTTCATTTTCATGATATGGAACTTCAGGTTCATTTTTGTCTCTGTTTTATAAACTCCATATTTGAAATAAGTACTTAGAACTTTAGGTTCTAAATTAGTATTTATTTATGGATTTTCAAGTTCATTTATCATATATAAGGTGGAAACATAATTACTAATATTAGCTCTTGAAAATATAATAAAAACATATTCAATCATAAAGGTTGTATTCAACAAGAATAAACAGATCCAACCATGAAGACAATATTTAACAATAATAAATAGATCTAGTCATAAAGACAGTTTTTAACAAAAATAACTAGATCTAACCATAAAGACGGTATTTAATAATAATAAATAGATCAAGCCATAAGGGCGCGGCGTGATTGAATTACAGACCTTTAGTAGGGGTGCATCGTTATACTTGCTGAGCTATTCGTGCTTATAACATGTTGTAATTTCAGAGGTTTTATTTAATAACTAACTCATTAAAGAATAAAGTAAACAAAGTAAAATAACAAGGATCAAAGTGAGAGAACTGAGAGATATGATATTCAATTGATATTATTGAATCCTCTCAAATTTTTGTGTCTTTCAAAATGAAGGGAGGGGGTTATTTATAACCATCAACCCCCCACCACCTCACTTGCCGCCTCAAATTGTAAGTGGGGTGGAGGTCCATTTATTATAACAAATTGATTATTATGGCCGAGAAGAAAGTTTCAATTTTTTTTTTTTACTTTTTCTTTTGTTACATAATTTATGTTTGAAATTGGGACAAGCATAAAAGATAACGGACCTGATTTCACCAAAATTCCTTGCTTAAATAAATTAATGAACAAATGGGCCCAGCCCATTCATAACCCTAACACAGAAAAGGTTTATTATTATAGTACTCTTTGGTCATGTCAAACAGAAACCTAGCTTATACAGAGGTCGTGTAATGCGTTAATTCTGAAAATGCTGATGTCATGGATATATATAAATATTCCACACTGCTTACTCCCTCAAAGTTGAAAAATATGGTTAATATAGCTTCATTTGGTTGATTAAATTTGTGTTGTGTGGCAAAAAGTGCATTACCAATTTGTTCTGCAATTCTCACTATCTTATCTTTTCATTTGTCAGTTAATCACCATTACTTATACAATTGTTGGTAGAATTTATAAAAAGTTGAGTTATATTTTTATTTGGTTCATACTTTGACCTACCTTAAACAAGATTAGTATATGCATTTTACTGGCTTTATATATTTGCAATTTCGGTATCAAAGGGGTAAACTGTAAAGCATCGATGGACGACCATTCACAATCATAATTATAAATGAAGAAGATGAATATGATTTTGCAGCAACCATGTGTATTCATCAATATTAGACAGAGCTATAGGTGAGAGTTTCTCTGTGAGGCTACTCACAAAATGAAAAAGTATATATAAGAAAGGCATTAAGAGGACCTGTATATATATTTATACATGTAGCTCTTTTAAGAAATATATATTAATTTTAACAGAAGAGAAGGGAATTAATTAATAAAAGATGCATTGTGTTAATGTGATTAATATGTGATTAGTTCGCTTTATCAATAGTTTGGATTATGGAATATATGGTGTCTCAAGTGCATGAGAAAAAGATATGTTGAAGAATGAGAAATAGGAGACATCCCCACATCCCTCATATTATTATTAGATGCAAGGTCATAGTCATTCTTTAGTGTACCTCCCATTATTACCTTTGTCTTTTGCCTCCATTGCTTCTCCATCCACTAAATGCTCTTTGCCTTCCCTTCTTTCCTGTTATCTTTTGTTACCGGATTTTTGCAGCTCTCTCTCTCTCTCTCTCTCTCTCTCTCCGTTTCTTCAATTAGGGTTTCCTCTTTCAGGCCTCACCTCCTGTAATTATTAAACCTGCGCAGCTTCCAGTTTCACAGTCACAGACTAAACCTACTCTATCTTGGAAGAAACAAACAACTGCTCTAGAAAGAGCTACTTCAAGGGAAAAAGGTACTTCCCTTTTATATTCATCTCATCTCATCATCAAAGAAACCTAGATCACCAACAGGTAAATTTATATATCTATATATATAGCTGCTTTCTTACTTTTTATGTGTTAATAGTTCTTATGACCTCTTGTGTTTTCTTGCTAAACAAAAGCCTAAAGTGATACTAGATTCCTCTGCGTTACAGGCTCTAATTTAGGACTTTGCTGTATTCATTATCTTAATACACTTGTGATGAGTTGCACCAGTCAGATCGCATGTTGAACTCATTTAACAAATGAGTTCACAATTACTCATGCAACTGGATTCTTTTAAATTTAGAAGCCTGGAGACTTGTGAGGTAGAGAGGGAGAGAAAGAGAGCTGATGAGCTAAAGAAGTAAACAGCCAAATTGAAAATCAAAATTGAGAGAGACACGCACAAGAGCCACCAGATTAGTTGAGAGTAAAGTATATATACATGTAAGAAATAATTGATTTAGAAAATCAAATAATCATAACACAGTAAACAAAAGAGAGTATGACACGGAGATACAATCAAAAGGTATTCTTTATCTAACAAGCAGTGACAATTAATCAGACTGTGTTTGAGTATATTTGTGCGCGTATGTGTGTTTGTGAGTGTCTGTGTGTGTTTATGTGATTGTGAAAGAGAGAGAAAGTACTGAGAGAGTTAGGGCTGCGCGTTGATGTTCTTCTCAAACTTTAAAGAGTTTTAGACATTCTGGATGTGGTACTTCTTAATTCTATTTTATAATTACCAAGCAAAATCACTCTGAATAACAATATTACAAAAGTTTCTGAATCTAAACTTTGAACCAATTAAAGTTAGGGGAGGAAACTGACACACACATCTGAAGGCAAATCAAAAGATTTTGCAGGTAAATCAAAAGATTTTGCTATATATTAAATTTTACCTTGTATATTAAATATGTGAATATACATTGTAGTATTCTTTCCATCAATTTTTTGTCAAGAAAAAAAATCTAAAGAAAATCTTACAACAATTTGTTTGATGGTTTTTGTATGTATCTTCTTGATGCAGTGAAAATGGCTTCATCCAGCTCTTACAATTCTCCATGTGCCGCCTGCAAGTTCTTGAGGAGGAAATGTATGCCCGGTTGCATCTTCGCACCATACTTCCCACCGGAGGAGCCTCAGAAATTTGCCAATGTTCACAAGATCTTTGGTGCAAGCAATGTGACAAAGCTACTTAATGAGCTCCTTCCTCACCAAAGAGAGGATGCTGTGAATTCCCTTGCTTACGAAGCTGAAGCAAGAGTAAGGGATCCAGTTTATGGTTGTGTAGGTGCCATCTCATTCCTCCAGAGACAGGTGCAAAGGCTCCAGAAGGAACTTGATGCGGCTAATGCCGATTTGATCCGTTTCGCCTGTAATGAAATACCAACAGCCCTGCCTGTACCACCCGGGGTGAGTTCGATTCAACCTATGGTGCCTCGCCAGAGGCCAGTTGAGTTTAGTAGAAGAATTGGTAATGAAGGAGATGCCTTTTATCAGCCTCCATCTTACTCTCATCCTTATATTCTTCCTTGGAGTGACAACCCTTCAGGGGATATCAACGATGGAGGAGGAGAAGGCAATAATATGTGAAATTATAAGACCCATTCAATGGTAAAAAACCCATCTAGGTTTTTCTCTGTGGACAAGACCTGATGATCAAGATCTCATTGGTATGGTGCTATATATTTGGTTGAGGTTTCTAGCTAGATAGCGTCACATGGATTCTTCTAGCTAGATCACTTTGAGTTTATGTTCGCATTTTTTCTGGTAGATTCAGTATTTATCATCCTAAAAACATGGGGTTTAAGCATGGTGTCAGTGTTTTTAATGTGCAGTTTGAAAACCTAAGCTAAATAAGGCTTTAGAACATAGCGTTAGTGTGTGGCTACTATAGCTTTTTCTTGTGTCAAACTGTCAATTGTGCAGCTCTAGCCATGTGCATGCGGAGTTGTTGTCCTCTGTGTCATAGTTAATTAATGCTTAAGAATAAAAGTTTCAAGTATATTAAGTAAAGAGGATTCTATAGCCTTAGTCTACGGCTTAGTCCACCTTTACATATATATTATATATTCTTCTTACCTTTCTTTCTACTTTGTTCTTGAGGACCACCGCCTTACTTTCTCACCAAATTTTTCTAGACCTTCTTTGCCGCAGACTTGAAAAAGATATACAAATTAACATCTTCAAATTCAACTCCAACTTGCACCTAACCATCTGTATAATTCTTGTAAGGTCTTTACTTTTTTCCTATAAGATGGCGAGTTACTAATAAACTATGAAACAATGTATCAATGGTCATGTTAAGACTAAAACTGAACGAAACAGAAAATAAACAGTATGCCTTTCCTTTTTTATGCATCAATTTAAAGTCTTTCCATATGTAGTTTTCATCTTGTTCTGAAAAAGGGGTGTACTGTAATGTAAAAAATCTGTTTGCTTTAGATTTTCGTTCTTTATTATTAGCCTGAGAAAACAACCTCACCTTGCATTAATTTCTATGCAAGATAGCAATTATCTGAAACAGTAAGTCACAGTCGCTGACCCCATTGGATCTGATATATATATATAAAGTAGTTTCTTCTTTCTTCTAAGGGATTCAGCCTCTTTTTTTCCCAATACCCAGCCTTTCCTCTTTTCATCCCCAGTATTTCCTAGACAAAACAGTTAAACCTTAGACAAAAGTCATCACACAGTAAACTTCTCGCCCGCTGCCCATTAATTCCTTTTTCTCGCTCTCATACTTTATATCTTATATTAGTTTCTTTAAGTCTTAAGTCAGACTGATGTAGATATATGTTTTTGCATGCGTTTATGATAATATGAGACATATTCATCAGGAAAACAGTTCTAACCACCAAAACAAATTAATATATGTAGCTAAAAGCAGAAAAAAAAATTAGGGTTAGGGTTTTATTTCACCTAACAAAACTGTTTCATTTTCTGCAATAATGATGATTTTTGAGAGAGATGGTGAAAAATGACTTTTCTTTCTTAGTCATTTCCTTATTTTCTTCGACTGACTAATTCTATTCAATGTTTTCATACCACAAACGCATTCTCTCTCTCTCTCTCTCTCTCTTGTTCATACTCACACGCTTTCATTTATTCATGTGTCACTGTTATGTATCAGTACAAAGCTTTGATCATGGCAGAAGACGACCATCTCTTCTGTTTCTTCTTCACTTTTTGTCAGTCCCTCTCTCTCTCTTTTAAACAGACACACGTATATATACTGTAGCCTCATGTAGAAATTGTTCTCTCCCTCTCAAGCGTCTCTGGATTTGGGTCTGGCAGTTCCAGTGACAGTCACGTCTATTGTCCTACAATTCATCGCCTCCTTTATTTCTCGAGATTGCCAAACACTTAACTTTATCTTACTTGGAAATTTTGGTGAACCAAATTTCAATCTTCTGATCTTATTTCACCACCACATCTTCCTCAACATAACTCAAAAAAATATAAAACATAATATATATGTGTGTGTGTACATTAAGAGTTTGGTTTGATAGTTGTACTGTTGAGGACACAGAGTACTCAGAGTGGGCAAGCGTGGGATGTATAACATCTCAAGTTAAAGTTGGGATTGGGGCTTTTCTCTGAAAAGATTGAGTTGAAACTTAATTGAGAATCTCTCAATCATCAATAACCCTATCAATTTCTCTGCAAAGACGTAAAAAAGAAGCAAAAGAGCAGGTTCAATTGGCAATAAGATTTATCTATATAATATAATTTTTTTTTATTATATATATAATAACTATTAACAAGGACAAGACAGACATCAACAACAACAGGACGTGCGGGTCCTCCAATGCTATGCAATGCAGTATGGCCCCCCACATGTACAAGAATTTCTCATGCTCTTCGCTTCATGGGGCTTTGAATGACAGTAGGGGACTCCCATTATTTGTATCTTTTAGCTCGTTTTGACGTTTCACACGCACACACTCAACCACTCTCTCTCAAAAGTAAAAAATAAAAAGTTTGAGTTGTGTGTTTTTCTTTTTAATTTTCCAATATTTTTACTGCTCAATTGATATCAAATATCATAGGGGTATTTTTACTATTTTGGATGGATTGAACTGGTTACCAAATGTATTCTTTCTCACTACAATAGTATAAGCAGAAATTATTGTTGTTTCTTGCAGCAGAATTTTCCCTTGTTTTTTTTTTTTTTTTTATCTTATCTTTTTTATCATTTAAACTTGTGTCCTACCATTTGCTCCTTCATCTTCACAAGTACTCGCAGAGAAATTTATCTCACATTGTTTCTGTATGCGCTATTGACAAAAATGCATGCTTAATAAATTATATTTCTTGTCCGGTAGTCCACTGTGCATCACTGCATCAGCCCCGTTGGTGTCAATGCCCTCCGGCAAAAAAATTTTAAAATAGGCAAGGATGTGCGTGCGTTATCGGGGATTATATTAAACATTAGCGATATAATGTATCAATTTGAATTGTTAGTGTGAATGAAAAGGTCTTAATAATACAATCTATTGGCACTCAATGTGTATCTTATTGCTTTTGGCAGCCGTAGGGGTTTGCGGGGTTGTTTAATTCAATATATTTATATAGCTCAACCTCTAATAGTAATGAACTAAACTTTGTTCAGGACTTAACAGAATCCAAGCTATAAATTAATTGAAAAATAAAGTGGTTGTTCTTATTAAATATCTTTCAAGAATCAAGAACTCATTTGATATCACATATAAGATAGGAGAACTAGTCATTGTGAACGTACAAATTAACTGAAATAGTTGAATCTTTTTAATCTTCTTTTTCACCATTATTGGTGCCATCAAAAGCATAGATTGCAATAATAGAACGAATAGCAGGTTACTGTTATTATATATGAAAAATACTTTGATCCTCAATTAAATAAACTTGTAGAAGGGCAACTAAATATGTTAACTTTTGCATCAATTACTAGACGCCAAGATTTCCCATATATATAATTAGTTGTTGATGATTATTATACAAAAGACGTTAACCAGAAAAAGCTTTGAAGTGGGTATTATTATAGTATCAGATTTATCCAATTATCCTCTCTGGGATTGGACCCTATTAATGTCTAGACGATTTCAACACCTGGATAAAAATGGAAGAAGTGCAACAGGCGGAAAGTTGGAGATGTTGATAGCAAAACCCTTTTGAAAAAGCCATTGTTCCAAAACCTCCCTATCTCTGTCTTTCTTATTTTATTTTATTTTTCCCTTTCCTCAAGTCATATACATGGCCTACCTATTTCATATGTAAATATTTTTGGTCCCATTGATAGTCATCTCTATTTAATTGATTGAATGATTGTTTTTAAGTTCTCCAACATTGAATAAAATGGAGAGGCAGATGAAGCAAGACTGCTTTTTGCTTCTGATAAATGCAGCATTCGAGATGGAAGAATGAAAATATTAAACAAGGAATAAAGATGTTCGAACAGTTGACTAGCTAACGGTCGATTAATCATGCTAACCTTATCAGGATACAATATTATTCCTCGAATATTGTGCCACAAATGCATCATGACCAAAACCTAATGTATATGTTATATAACTAATTGAAACTTGAAGATACATGAATTTCACAACTTCTAGATGAACGTACAATCTCTGCATCAGGAATATAAAAGAAGCAATAACCCAATAAATTATGCTTCGGTTGATCATATTAATTATTAAATCAAACAAAAACTATAACACTGACACGCACCTACCGATATGAGATTTAAAATTGAAGCATGCCACATGCACAAAGTTTAGAAAAAAGTTAAAATAAGGGTAACTGGGAAATATATTCGTATTATGATGTTTACATAAATAATTTCTCTTGTCAGATTACCAATGATGATGGTCATGATGGTGACCATGGGTATGATATAATAAAAAACACAGGAAGATTATGAATAAAATAGTTGCCCTTTGTTGATCATATTCTGTCTTTAAGCAATGATTTATAAAGAAGAATTATGGGATTATGTTAATAGGGAAAATAGAAGTGTACAAATCTAGTTAGATATGGGAGAGAATAAAAGAATATGTTATAATATATGGGGGAGTATAATTCTGAGGATATAGTGTTGGCCCCTTCAATCTTTGAAGATAGAGGAGAAGGAATACCATCTCCTATCATGTGTTCACAAAGTGTTGTTCTCCAAAATGGACTGGTTTTGACTTGATTAAAGTGATCCTCGTTCAATAAAGTTGCAGCATTATTAATAATACCGAGTACCTGGAGTATTGTTTACATTAGAATAATATTTATATATAAGAATTTCTTTCATGGAGTTCTTTTAAAATTTTTAATAATGTTATGTACTGCCAGTGCTATTTCTTTCTGCTTTACTTTATAAAGGATACACTGATCACTGAAATCTGCATCGATCTGCCGTTCGCACTTTATTTACGATGGACACTGAGGAAGCCGAAAGTAAATCCTTGATTTTTTCCACCATTAATTTAGATTCTCATCCTCGCTCTTATCGTTTTGGGTTTCCATAATGGGCTTCTCAAAATTGTTGGACCCCATCTCAACTTCTTTTTCTGGTTTCAATTATGGTTTCGATAATATTGCATTTACAACCCTATTTCACTAACTTTTTTTTATAATTCTGACGTGACAGCTTGTAAATAGATCTCGTTTGCTCACTATGGGTTTCGTCTACCCAATTATGAGCTGATCAATTGTAAACTATCACATCAGAATTGTAAGATAAAATTTATAAGATTGAGTTGTGAACTAATCTTTATTGTTCTGGTTTTAACCTGTTAGAATTAACACATATGCCTTAGCTTATTATAACACAAAAATTGTCACAGATTTATAACAAAATTTATCACTATTAATCAATTCCTGATAAAAACATGTTAAAAGACAACATTTTAATCAATTATATCAGATTATGAATGTCAATTTTATTTATTTATTTTAAAATATTTCTGTCATGGCAATGGCCATAAGAATGTCTTTGATTCACAGTAGGATCAACGGCACATGTCCAAACGTAAACCAATCCTGATTTGATA